ACGCACTTGGCATGGACGCAGATAAAGTCTACTTGGCATGGACGTAGAGCAAGTCTACTGGGCATGGACGTAGAGCAAGTCTATTGGGCATGGACGCAGAACAAGTCTACTTGGCATGGACGTAGAACAAGTCTACTTGGCATGGACGTAGAACAAGTCTACTTGGCATGGACGTAGAACAAGTCTACTGGGCAGACACACAAATCTTTGGACGAAAATCTCATCTCTGTAAACTAGTATTCTGAGCGGACCGACCATTCAAACGCAACGGGCCCTGGAAGTTCTCACCTTTACAAAAATCATTTCTTTCTGAATCAGCCAGCTAGTAATCTTATATCCTAGGTCTCCTCTACATATCAAAGCTCTGCCGCCCTCCTGACTTACGCTAACTCTTCAAACGACGCCCCTGCCCCCCACCCGTTCTCTACTGCACTCAGTTCTAACAAAACAGAACGTGTCCACCACAGCTGGTGGCGCCCTGATCCCCAGCATCCCTGAGTGACATTTAGAGCGTCTCACCATTTACTCATTGCCTCACCACACACACACACTAATCCTGGGTCATGCATGGAAGCAAGCATTTTCAGTTGTGTTTTTTTACCCAGCATTAGGAAGCGGTTACATATAATAGTTAATAGACCTAGGGGGAAAACCCGGAGACACGCGGGCCACAATTAAATTTGTAACGATTATTCAGTGCAATATTAATATTAATTCCATTGGAAGAGTTGCCACAAATTAGCCATATGCCGTAGTCAGTGGTGGGTATATATCAATTAAGTCGTAAATCGGGACATAATGCTCTATACAGGCTTCAAAGTCGACTTTTGTTCTCTCTTTTTGTTTTATCCAACATACATTTATAACAACAATTGATCTTCGGGAAATAATTTATTTTAATCACTTTCAATGCAAATTTATGTACAGAGAATTGTATATTACAATATTTTACAAAGGGAAAGTTCATAGAACAATTTATAATCTAAAAGGCCAACACCAGGGCGACACAATGACAAGTGAACATCTGGATTTATCACCAAATGAATACGTTATCATTGGTGTTTACTGAGAACTCCATTATGACAAATTTCATTATGCATAACATGCATGCCTCATATGTACAACATCTGTACCTCATATGTACAACATCTGTACCTCCTATGAACAATATCCATGCCTCATATGTACAATATGGTGACCAGACATATGCGCACAAGACAATTGCGCACACGACAAACGCGCACAGACAATCCCGCAATGACACAAATGCGCACAGGACAAACGCGAACACCGATAGTTGCGCACACGGACAATGGCGCACACAGACAAATGCGGACACCGACAATCCCGCACAGTGACAAATGCGAACGGCTATATAAGCGCACACCGACAAATGCGCAAATAGCAAGTTATGCATCGCCAATTTAAAGATGATAATGGATTTAGTCTTAGTTGGTTTTCAGCCAAAATACATCATGTTTAAAGCTAACAATATATTAATAATCATAATAAATGTAATAATAATTGTATGCATATTTTTAAAAAAATTAACTTTTAAATGTATAGACTAATAGTATAGTAATAAAATGTTCGTTCTAGTAGTACTGCTACGTCATGATTTTTAACAGATGTCATTTAAAAAAATTTAATTGGATATTTAAGTCTTAATCAGCATGTTAAACCATCGTAGTATGATGGAAGCTCGTAAAATGATTATTAAACAAATAACAGCAGTACTACTACTTAAGCATATAGTTGAAAATAAGACGTATACTTATACATTATACTAAAAATAATTGTGGTTTTTATTTTAATAAAAGAAAGAGGAATATTAGTCTTAAAATAAGAGTTGGCATTGCACGTTTCTAAGGGCAAAGTACGTTTTAAACCATGCATTCATGCAACCGATTGGAAAAATTTTTATTAGAACAAACTCATACAAATTTTCGTTCTTCCGTCCGGAATTCGGGCGTGGAATGGGTTGCCTGAAGAAACCAGGAAAGCCAACACTTTATCAACATTTAAAACTCTAAAAAGAATGCAGGACTAAACACAAACCATAGATAAGCGTAGGACGCAATAATCTTCTGTATAGAAGGAGCGTCTGAAACAGATAAGAAGAAGAAGAAGATAGTTTCAAAATTGTAATGAAAAGAAAGAAAAATGGTTGAATTATCTTTAAAATTTAAATGTACATTTAAACTTTTCAAAATAAAACACATAACAGTTAAATGTTTCTAAAAAATTTGAATTTTTAAAAGAGAAAAAATAAAGAAATGTATACATGAGGCATACACATATGAAATTATTATTAAATCTTGTTACACACGACAATTTGACAGGTTCACTACTTAATAACTCTTTGATTGACAAAAAAAAATTAACTTAGATATACACTTTCTTTGGCCATTTAAACTACTGACAGATATGATTCAGTATGGTAGTACATGTAATTATTATAGCCATTATGGCTAGGGAGATACACTAAAATATCAAAACTATTTGTAAACTTTCGTCACAATGTTTAATGAAAATACTGCCTTTCATTTTCACACTTTCCATAAAGCAAGTCACTTAAAAATATATTGAGTTATTTTAAAAAAATACTTTTCATCTGAACATTTGAGAAGTATTCAATAACAAATAAAAAGCTATTAAATTTTAAATCTAGTGCTACAAACTCTTCACATTGTCATTTAATTGACTTATTGGCAAAGAGTCCTTAAAAATCATTCCCCCCCCCCAAACATATGTGTTTGTCTAGAGTCTACTATACTAATACTTAACTATTACAGAATTAATGAGGAAGCACTAGAGCTTACTTAATAGCAACAGGTATAAAAAAAATAATTTTAACTGAAAGAATATTGCTGGAAATTATAATAATATATAGAGTAGTAATAACCTTTCATTTTAAGTTTGCGTATTGTTCTAATGGTAGTTTAAATCCTAATTGCAAAGTTTTGTGTTATAAAATATCAACAGTAATTTCATCATTCAATTAGGACTTCCTTCTACACTATAAATAACCAAGATTATGTACCTAATAAATCTGCGGGTTGAAAGAGGGGTTGGAATAAAACTACGTGTTAATCACTAATAAACATTTTTCAAATCGGTTGCATGAATGCATGGTTTAAAACGTACTTTGCCCTTAGAAACGTGCAATGCCAACTCTTATTTTAAGACTAATATTCCTCTTTCTTTTATTAAAATAAAAACCACAATTATTTTTAGTATAATGTATAAGTATACGTCTTATTTTCAACTATATGCTTAAGTAGTAGTACTGCTGTTATTTGTTTAATAATCATTTTACGAGCTTCCATCATACTACGATGGTTTAACATGCTGATTAAGACTTAAATATCCAATTAAATTTTTTTAAATGACATCTGTTAAAAATCATGACGTAGCAGTACTACTAGAACGAACATTTTATTACTATACTATTAGTCTATACATTTAAAAGTTAATTTTTTTTAAAATATGCATACAATTATTATTACATTTATTATGATTATTAATATATTGTTAGCTTTAAACATGATGTATTTTGGCTGAAAACCAACTAAGACTAAATCCATTATCATCTTTAAATTGGCGATGCATAACTTGCTATTTGCGCATTTGTCGGTGTGCGCTTATATAGCCGTTCGCATTTGTCACTGTGCGGGATTGTCGGTGTCCGCATTTGTCTGTGTGCGCCATTGTCCGTGTGCGCAACTATCGGTGTTCGCGTTTGTCCTGTGCGCATTTGTGTCATTGCGGGATTGTCTGTGCGCGTTTGTCGTGTGCGCAATTGTCTTGTGCGCGTTTGTCACGGAACCGTACAATATACATGCCTCATGTTTACAATATCCATGCCCCATGTGTATAATATCCATGCCTCATATGTACGAAACCCATGCCTCATATGTACAACATCAATACCTCATATGTACAACATCAATACCTCATATGCACAACATCCATGGCTCATATGTATGAAACCCATGCCTCGCATGTACAACATCAATACCTCATATGTACAACATCCATGCCTCATATGTGCAACTTTGGGGTGTAAATCAAATCCTGAGTGTGGCATCTAAACAAATCTCAGATCGATTTGTTTAAAAATTGACTAACCCTAAATGTCAACAGTTTCAGATCTAGGACAAAATTTGAACAAGTTCTCACCACAGCAACATCAGTAGCACTACAAAACACACACAACACTCCTCTGACTGTCAAATTATTGGAGAAATTTTTTTTAAAAATAAGTCACATTCCTTTTTTTCAAATGCTAACCTCACTTACTTGTCATTTTCGTGCCCCCTTCATGTCTCACAACCTGCCCCCCCCCACACACACACACACACAAACTCACCTACATCAAAGGTCACAATGTTATTTGAAACTAAAGCTCAATCTGTGAAATTAAATTCACATTTATAAACCATAACTGGGATAAAATATACACTGACGGAACTGACGGGCCATGATCTAAATATTTACAGCCATCCTTGTGATATTTCAGTTGACATTTAAGTGGAAGATTTTATGCAGGAAGTGCCATAAGAGTCATCTGGACTGAAAATAAGTGTCCACATAGGTTAGCCTTACATCAGCAAATACTGTAGAAATTTTTTGTTCACTTTAGAAATGCTTAAATAAAGATTGTAAATGATAAATTAATTTTTTCATATTCATCCAAAAGTTGAAAATATTAGTTTTGATGCACATAATTATTCAATTTCCATCTCAAATTTAGTTTAAGAGGAAAAAATGTAACTTTCTTTACTTATTTCTCTTTCATAATGACCTTTGACATTAATGATGGCGGGTGGGAAGAAACCTTCAGCATAGGTAAACTAAAATATTGGATTATTCTGTTGCTTATACTGCAGCATAAAATCAAAACATATCACAATTTGCTTTTATAGAAAAAATAATAATTACAAAACGAATAATAAAACTGTGTAACAAATGAACTATGGCATTCACATTTTTTTTTTCTCCAGATAACCCCAGGTCTGAGCACAAAATGTCAATGCTGCTGTCGTGGTCCTTACATTGGCTGGCAGTGGTGTAAATGCAGTTTTATGGGTAGCTGGGGACTCTGTGTGACATATGGACATCCTGGGTCTACCAGCTGCTTGTCTCTTGAGCTTTTACGGCAGTCATCAGCAGTCTTGTATTGAGTTGTGGTGAGATCAAGAGACCAGCTCATAATACTTGTTGGACTTGGGATCATAATAGCAGTTGAGTTTGGGGTCAAAGTACACATCCAATTTGTCATCATCCTCTGCACTTTTCTTACCATGAGCTGTGTCAAGTTTTGGGAAGAAGTGGAAATAAATTTTACTGGTGATATATTTAACAAATGCAAGATGCATGGGAGGCATACAGATCATGTGAGAAATTGATGGCAGTATTCTGGCAGACATATCTTAAAAGGGTCAAATTATAGATAACTTCACAAAAACATATTGAAAAGCAAATCTAAATGAACAAAATAAATAGATGGATAGGTTTGCATAAATGACTACTATAATAATGTAATTAAAGAGATAGCTAAAAAAAAATTTGACTTCTATAATAATGTAATTATACTGAGAGCTCAAAGATATGACATCTGTAATTCCACTGATAGCTCAAAGATATGACATCTGTAATTCCACCGATAGTTCAAACATATGACTTCTGTCATTCCAATGATAGCTCAAAGATATGACTTATGTAATTATGTAATTCACCCGATAGCTCAGTGATAAAAGGTTTTCTCCAGTAAACAGATGACACTGACCACACTCAAACACATTATGCACTCACCGTGGTGGGCATCATCAGACAAGTCATCAGATATACCTTCCATTGTTCCCTGCAAATCTTGTACATGGGACAGTGGTCCTATAGGGGGGCTCATCACACCACTCCAGTCCCTGGAGAAACCGTGATGTGTCAGCAATGCATGTCAACATATACAGGAGCAGTAGAAAATAAAAAGCATTGGGGAGGAAGCCTTAAATCAGGGGTGTCAAATTTAATCGCTTGGCAGGCCAAAACTCAAATCACATGTAAATTTGCAAGCCGAACAGGATAAACATTCAATAAGCGGAAAATTAATATTTTTTGTAAAAACTTATATAAATGAAAACAGAAAAAAAGTTTTAATAATTTAAAATCACTGCATTTCCATTTTCGCTCTGTGCCAATTAGTCAGAGCTTGATGTTTGGCACATTTTCTTAGCTACAAGAACAAGTAAGTTCATTTATGTTGGGATTAAAGTTCTGTGTCATTGAGATTCTCATGATGGACTGCAAGTCTTTATCACAGAAAATAGCGGCTCACACATTTATGTGCTACTCAACATGTTCAAGGTTCGAGCCGCATGTAGTCAAAGCTAGGGCATCACTTCAGTAATGAAATGAGTGAACTGTGCAGGCCCAAATGTGTCATACTTTGCCTTTTGTGTCCCATTACAATGAAGCTCTATTAGCGCCATCTGCAAATTTACAGGTGCAGCTTCCACGCCTGTGACAAATGGATTACAAAACAACTCGAAATTACATTTCTGTACTTCAAAGTCACTAAAGCGCTGTGTGAACTCGGCATGAAGTAAGCTAAGTTTTTCAGCAAAGTGAGCATTAGGAAACACCATAGCGTGAACTTGGATATAAATGTACGCCGGTCAAGACCTCGCGGGCCTGATATAATTGTTCGTATATTGCCTGCGGGTCTTGAGTTTGACACATGTGCCCTAGATAGAAAAGCTCTTCCTTTTAAGTATATGTGAGCTACCTTACCTTTTGAGGATTCTGCCCTTGTCTATATTTACTACCCACAACCAAATTAAGCCAAAAAATAAGCTCTCAGTATTAATTAGATGTAAAATACATATACGCCTATGGGTCCCACTATTTAAACTATTTGACCTATCCAATGAAAACATCACAGGAATCTGAAGCAGATGCAGAAAAACATGTAGTCTACCAAAATCTCAAGCAAAAGCGAGGCTTAAAGATAAAATGAATTTCCCCCGCTCGAGCATAGGGCAATCCATTTTTTTATTTTGATTATAATCAAAAAGATCATGTAGTTTATGAAGATTGCTTTTTAATGCTCAAGTTGCCATGGAAACAATTTGTGACATCTGTTATGTTAATTATATTTATTAAAAAAAAGGACACGTCTACGCCCAATACAAAGGGTGTGACTTATCTGCAGTTCAACAAATATACCACTATGACAACCCCAAACTAAGAATGCGACCTAACCCTTGGTGCGACCTGACCACTAGTGCGACCTATACCCGAGTATATATAGCATACAACTTTTAAAAATTACTTGATGCACCCGTACTGACAATATTTAAAAAAAACTATTGTTTACCCTGAAGAGGGTTATACAAATGATGTCTTAACATTTTAAAAAATGATGACACTTTTGACCCCCAACCTTTTTTTCTATTAAAAAAAAATATTCCCAAATTGTTGGTGATGTAAAACTGTATCATTCAAAAGAGAAGCACCACCTGCACCACTTTGCATACCACAAAAGGTGACATCTGTACAGTAACATTTTTGCACTTAGCTGAAATTTATGCATTCGTTTTTATTTTAAAAGACATACACTCAATTTGAAGTCTTTAAACATAAAACATCACATATTATTATGATCCAGTCTGGACAACATGTTCAGACTGTGGGCTGATGGCCATGCGGAATGGACTCGGCAGCCTGCCCAGACATCAAAGGAGTGCAGCAATAACCCTGGATAAAAAAACTTCACTCCAACAGTGTGACAAACTTTCCCCTTTAGTCCTACACCTTGTTGGAACTACTTTCTGAAGTAGGAATAAAGTTGTAATCCTGGCACATCACACAGCACTACACAAAAACCTGAAACTTACAAGTTACAGACGCTAGAAAATTCTGGAACAAGAAAGAAAAACAAAATCCTATAAATTGTACTGACCGAGGGTTTGAGGATGTCAGAGTGTCGCTGCTCCTCCTTGATTTCATCTCATCTTGGTAGTTGTGAGGCGCCTGGTTCAAAGCCTGTGACAAACATACTGTCATTCAGTTCATCTAGTAGATTCAATGCTACCAGTAACACAAAGCAGCCAGCAATATTATCAAGACATCTGAAACCGTTCTTTAAGCTAACTGTGTTTCTTTCATTGAGACTAAACACAACCATAATAATAAATATAATAACATACTAGAGTCACTGTTTTACATTTAGAAGCCATGACACTACCCAAAGACATTTACATCCCGAAATGTATATAAAGCCTTTCCTTTGATTTTTTAGTTGTCAATTTTATAGTTTTTAACAAAGGACATCTTCAATAGCTCTTTAACTAACTAACACATGTTGCAGACATTTAATAATTTATGTAAATTATTCGCAATCAAATTTGAATTGTTTTACATGATTGCGAATAACTTATTAATTGCAATGATTAACATTAATATTAGAAATGTTTTATTTTATATTCAGCAGATCCAGATGGTTTGTGGGATGGAAAAGGCGGACAAGTGGTACATCACGTAAAAATAATCAAATTTCATATATTTAGTTTGGTTAACCCTTTAAGTCACACATCGCTTACGGGTGCTTTCCATGTACTGAAGCTGGTGTCATCATCACTGGTGGTCGCGGGGGACTCGCTGTACTGATGGGTCGTCTGCCCCTGTTCTGATGGGGTCTGGTAAAGCTGAGAGTTGCGCAGTGTCTGCGGCACCAAGCCATAGTTGGGTGTGGGGGACACTCTCTGCAGCACCTCCTCCCCTTGCCTCCTCATGCTCTCATACATGCGGGTCTCAAACGACTCGGTCACCTCTGCCAACATGTACTTGGTAGCTTCATAGGGCTTCTGGCATTTAAACAAATAAAATTGCAAAACTTTACAAACATGTGAATCAGCTTGTGAATCAGATATATTGCCACTGCTAATAATAAATCTTGTTATATTATGCCAAGGTCCCCTGGCAAATTAACTTTCTATATTGTTCATTTTTGTTTTTAATACCATTTTATTAAAACGTAATAAGCATAAAGAAGAGGTATGGAAAGTAAAAAGTATTTGTAATGTGCATTAATTAATGACCCTGAGAAATCATTTTCTGTTCCTATGCAAAATAAATTTACATGAGTTGGCCCTGGGTGATGATGGTAGCTTGAATGCCTGGTAATCAAGAAGCACAAGATTTTAATGCACATGAGATCCCCCCCCAAAAAAAAAAATCTGTGGGAACACTGATAAGTAAAATAGATTCAACAGACCAGCATGGCAGATTTTCTTGAGTAAGAAACAAGATCAAGCAACAAGGCTGAAGACTCCAGCCAAATTGGCATGAGAAAAAACAAATTTGACTTCCTACACCCCTCCCTAGACAAAGTGTCGAATGAACCAACAATAATAATATATTAATCATATCTGTTTACCCCTCTAGCGTAGGAATATTTCAAAGAGTTGACTCCAGGTACAGGCACAAAAGTTTTAAATCCGAATATTGTTTAATAGAAAGTTGAGACCGTACCTCTGACGTAGACGATGTGACCTCATTCCCTTCATTCTTTGGGTTAGTGATCTCCCTTAGCGACTTCTTACTCATCCTCGTCACGCTGTCCCTGTCTCGCTTTTCAGAGTAAGCCTTTGGGTCAAAGATGGGCTTCTGGTCAGGGCTGGCGGAATTTTTGGGCATGGGCCTTGACCTGATCCCTCCAGAATGAGCTCTGGGTTTGGGGTTAGATGCCAACGTTACATAATTGTTGCTATCGTAGCCATTGTGACGAATGCTCTGTGACGTAGCACTGCCAGCACTCCCCGGCACCCGTCGCATTCTCATTGGATGATGCAGCATGTCCGCACCTACCAGAGGGTCATCTTCACTGCTGCTGTGACTGACAAAATCATCCTCTAGCCGAGCCCCTCTGTACGAGTTTGTATCCGTGCTTTTTTTACCGTTTGACCGCAGGCTTTTGGAAATACTCTTTTTCGACTGTGAAGACAAATATTTTATATTGTTGTTGTAAAACATGGCTGGGAAAAATGGAACAACATACTCGTATGTTTTGGTATTTTAACATAACAGCCGAATAACCCTTTCTGTGGTGTTGCTGCCAAAATAATTTGCCATTAGCAAAATCATCATTAAAAATGTGAATTGATTTAATGTATTGTTTAAGGGGAAATACTCAATATAAATGAGTTTGCTTCATATTTCCTTTACTGTCAGTGTGTTTGCGTGCTGTTATTTGGGAATTTTTTGTGATAAATCTGGTGTGAAAATTTCTCAAATTTTTTCACCGTAATGTCTGATGCTGGAGAGGGCCCCCCTTTGGGATATCGAAATCAACACAGAATTTCTTTATTGGAATTATTTAACATACATTAAAATGAAATCAAAGATATCAGAGATATTCCACGTGCTGGTAATGATGGCATAGGCTCTAGTGGTCGAGATAAGAGTCAGAGACTGACAATTTTATCCCTTAGCTTAGTTGTGTTGTTACAGACACATTCCTTTGGGAGAGGGTGGAAATCAAACAGAAAAAGACACAGATTTGATTCCAAAAGATCTACCCCAAAGATATTTATGTTTGTACATGTTCTGGAGTATTAATTACTAAAAAATGGATTTAATAACTTCAAATGAAAAGGAATTTTTGAAATTATTTTGAGCCTTCCCCTTTGTATTTTGTACGACAGAAATTTGAGGGTAGTGAATGAAAAAATTCACCAATATCACAATTTTCCATATAAGTAACTATAAATTGTCCTTTTCTGAAAGAATATTGCTTCTGGTGTATCAAAAACTATATTTTATGACACTTCGAACAATTTATGGAGTATTTAGGATGGGTTAAATTCAGAAGTTGAGTAATAAAATTTTACTCTCTCTGTAAAGGTCAAGGTCAGTACTTACATGCATAATAAAAAAAACAAATCATTTTCATACCATAAGATACCTTGTCCAATGCTCTTTCAGAAAATTTATAATTGTAAGGGTCTTTCAATTCATTTAGTCTGGGATATTGTCAAGCATACGAAAATGTTAAAAATGTCTTGACACTATAGAAATTTGTTTTTGACTTTTTAAGGGTTAATATAATTTTTTTCCTCCATTTAAAAAAAAAAAAAGCATAATACAGTAGAAACTCCTTAATATCTGGACAATTGTTATCTGGAAAACCTTTTATATTTTGTTACCCAGCAATGTACAATGTACATCAGCAAGGGGAGGAAGCAATCACCACGAGGGCATTGTAAACACACATTTAAAAACAACTTTGATGTACATGATCAAAGCTTTCAAAATAAATACTACGTTTATCAGATATAAAATAATACTATATTTATCACATATAAACTGCTTTAATTTTATTACCTATGGTGTCAAGGATTGTGTCAGCTTTGGTGTCAAGGATTGTATCAGCTTTGTCATCATTAAAACCGTCACAATTAGTATGTTCACTGTCACAATTAGTATGTTTACAGTCACAATTAGCATGTGCACAGTCACAATGAGTATGTTCACTGTCATAATTAGTATGTGCACTGTCACAATTAGTATGTGCAATGTCACAATTAGAAAGTTCACTGTGCTTGATGACATCAAAGACGGGCGCTTGATGCAGTGGCCAAGGGAACTACAAAGCTGTCTATCAGCTGCTTCTGTGGAAGCTGAGTGCATGGCCAGATTTCATCATTAAATTGTTCAAAAATTATTCCCCAACTTACTTGACTGGTCTCAGGGTCAAGAGCGCTGGGTGATATGTTTCTCCGTAAGCTGGCAGATTTGGGAGGTGACACAAAAAGATGAAGCTTGTTGTCTCCGGAAGTTTCTCTGAAACAAAATTGTACTTTTCATTCATCCCAGGTAGCTCATTTCAAATCATTACATCCTAGGTAGCTCATTTCAAATCATTACATCCTAGGTAGTTCATTTCAAATCATTACATCCTAGGTAGCTCATTTCAAATCATTACATCCCAGGTAGCTCATTTCAAATCTCTAAAAGAAATATTTCCTTGCTTTAAAATGGCTTTTAGATGGAATAGAATACAGATGTGTAGCCGTTAAGAAAAAAACACAAGAAGAGCAAATATTTTTATAGTGAGTGAATTAAAAAAAACAAGAAAATTTTCTTAATCTTCAAAAACTGACTTGACTCAAACTTTGACCTTTTGTTAAACTTTGACCTTTTGTTAAACTTTGTCCTTTTATTTTAGCCCTTAATGGGAAACATTTCAATTGTAGGATTTTTTATATTTTTAATAAAACAGCATTAAAATTTAGGTCACAAAACATGATGTCATATTTTATTTTTTTATTTTTTTGTGAGTCTTCTTCTAGTTTAATAGACTTTGTAAAACTGGTTTAATGCACAGCCATAGAAAGATTCAAAACTGCATGACAGATGAGGTGTGTCTTAGTCTAGATCTAATCAAAGTCAAGCTCTGGTTTTCTTAAGTCATAACATTCAACCATATAGGATCTTTCTGTTGTGCCAAACTTGCTTGTTTTAATACAATGTTCGATATGGAGACTTACAACTTCAGATACCAATTATCTCATGAAAAAAAATGCTCAAGTCAACGTAAGGGAAAATAACTTTTTGTCCATTTTCCATTGAGCTTGATCCCAACCTTGTTGTTAAGTTACATAAAAAGATTTCAACAACTTTCAAACTTCCTGTAAATTCTAATGAGTATGGGCATAAGCATTAATTTAATTTATGGACGACATTTTAAGAACAAAATCTTTTGTAAGTTTTAAAACATTTTTTATCTGCAACTATTGACACGCCGAGCATGCATCAACACACAACATCTGAAACCTAGCGAAAAACCTACTCATCACTCTCTTCATACTCTCCGGGATGTGAGCTCTCACTGGCAGAAGTTGACCTATTGCTCTCATCATCCTCAAGACTTTGTTTAATATTGCTCTCAGCATCTTTTCTCCTCTGAGCTCTGTCTCCCTCCTTGAATCTGTCCTCTTGGAATGTTTCCATCTCTTCATTCCTCCTTGATCCATATCTGTTGTTACTATTGTTGCTATTGTTGTTATCACTGATCCTGTTTTCCCCTTCTTCCAATTCTTCTGATCTCCCCTCCTCTCCCCGAAGTAAGAAAATCACATCTGCCACCGAATCAAAAGGATTGACACCCTCAGATGAAATGTCTCCTGCAAAGACACAAATTCATTTCAAAACTTTATTAAAGAATCACTAACACATTACTAATGAGTTAGAGCAGAATCCTGATAAATAGGAACATTCTATAGCAGTGGTTCTCAACCTTCCTAATGCTGTGATACAGTTCATCATGTTGTTTGACCCCTAACCATCAAATTATTTTCATTGCTACTTCATTAATATGTGTTCTCCGATCATCTTAGGCAACCAGTGTGTAAATGTTGTTTGACCAACATGCTGAGAACGGCAGGTTGAGAACAGCTGTTCTATAGTGAATTTAAACATTTTAAACAAACATTTCCAATGAAATTCTATTTCATTTTATTTAAAATAATAACATTGTGGTTAGCCCCCTTGTTAAATAGTTCTATGTGACATAACTTATTTTATGATTTTGCCATTAAAAAAAATACATTAATTATTAATGAAATGGCATTTTCTCATTATAAAAAAAACAAAAATATTAAGATCATGCAAGCTCTTAGCTGATTTATTTGAAATTTGAAAACTTTTGTAGGGCTTTACTATCCATCCGAACTGCTCTTATCATTAGAAAAGTCAAAATGGAGTTACAATAATTAAACTTTTTATTTGACAAGTTTGCCTACATTGGTGGGTTTTCTTCCATTCACTTTATATGAAAACTTTTGAATCTGTGTGCCAGATTCAAGAGGTAACAGAGGCATGGGAGCCATAAATGGTGAGAGAAAAATAGGGAGGGGGGGGGGGGAGGGAGACCAAATCATAGGGAATTTATTATTTCACCAGAGAAGCAATACAACTCATTTAAGTGGTGTCGTCTGCCATTGAAAATTTTAATTATGCTTTTATTTTGATTTCTGTTTTTATGATCATGTTTATTTTTTTAAGGAGCGCAAGCCATTTAAAACAGAGGCACGGATCACCATAGTTTGACCACCCCTGTTCTAGTGAAAGAAATCAATATGATGCCATATGAAGAATACTTAGACTTCAGCTGTATTGATTTCTCACATCCGGTCTCTACCCCAGCTGGATCACACGGAAGAGAAATCAAGAGAAAAAGTTCATCAGTTTAGACATACAAATTTCTGATCTTACCTTTCCTTGGGGATTGGATCTCAGGTACATCTGGTCCAACCCCCGAGTCCCTCATGAGGCTTCTAGATACCTTGACTTCCCGGACTTCCCCTAACCTTTCTCTTATGCGAGCTGCGTTGGGACTAAGAACAGACTGGTGCCCAACCTGTGCCCTGGAGCCCATCTGTCCAGACTGGGTAGCTGATGTTGGAGGTGACACGAAATTAGAATCTCCAGCTAATAAATAAAGAAAGTTGGAAAATTAGTTCTGAGGAATAGCAAAAAAAATTCTATGATAGATAGGGGATTTAGGGTTCTAAATATGAGAACAAATAATTGTTTGAATTTAAAAGACACCAAAATAAGCTTTCAGCAAAACTACATAAGTTCAAACAATATTTATTTCTCACCAATAAGACCATTCACATCATTATGAAATAACAAGACTGTTTTACCTCTGTTCGATACACCATTCTGTCCTAGCGGTTTAATTCTAGGTTTCCTGCGGACTCGATCACTTGATGGTTCCCTGGGAGGGTGTGGGGCAACCAGCTGCTTCTCTTTCAAACCTGAATGCAATGACAACACCCCATTAAAACTGAAAGAGATGAGAATCTCTGAATCTCTCCTTGCGTAAGTTTAATCTGGCAAAACAACTATTTGCTATCTCTGCACTACTACTATTTGCTATCACTGTAAGCATTTTGTTTTTTCCATTATACAAGTACAAGTTAATTTTATCCCTTGGTCTTCTAATGCATCACCTTGACACAATATTCTAAACCTTTCCCCAAAAATACTACAAGCGTTATCATTTTTAATTAAAATTTTTCACAACATGAGGTGTGCCTAAAAGTATAACTGTTAATTTGAAGGGTTCCGCTGCTCACCGTTGGCGATGTAGTCTTCTTGGCCCATCACGTCTGACATTTGATGGCTGTACGAAGCAGAAGAAGTTGAGCCAGCGCTGCCAGGATGCTGGGGTCTTTCAAAGTGGTCTCCCATATCATGGCCGTTAAAACTGTCTTGATTCGGCTGCTGACCTGGAAAGAAATTAACTTCTTTTGATTTGTGCTTAAGAAATAAAGTTGGTTTGCTTTTGTGTTTTGTGCATTCAGTTATAACATTTTATATGTCAAAAACAAAAAATCTAAAATGATAACTGACCATTTTTATTTATTTTTTTTGGTTGATAATATAAATTCTACTACTGATGGTTTTCATAAAAATAAGCACCACTGGCTTAAATTCTACTACTGATGGTTTTCATAAAAATAAGCACCGCTGGCTTACTTTCAGTTCTTGAATTCTGAGACTTGAAACTTCTGTTTGTTACACTGCCCTAAAAATGCAATTTAAAGAAAGATATATTTATGACCAACACTGGCACAAGACAATCCTACATTAAATATGTTTACAATAATGTCTATTGGCCAGCACACATTAAACATCCACCCCTAAAATTTTTAAGAACTAATTTTTTTAAGAACTAATTTTTTTTAAGAACTAATTTTTTTAAGAACTAATTTTTTTAAGAACTAATTTTTTTAAGAACTAATTTTTTTAAGAACTAATTTTTTTAAGAACTAATTTTTTTAAGAACTTATTTTTTTAAGAACTAACTAATTGCTTGTAAATACAAAAAAAAAATAGAATAGCTTTTTTTTTTAATCCTCTGAGAAGAAGGATTAACCTAGTAAGGCAAAGGCAGAGATAGCAAAGTGCCCCAACATACATAGTTATGATTAAGCACTATGGGATACGTTCACAGAGGAAAACTATATTTATTTTCTGAGAGACAAGAGCATAATAGGTTGGTGAATATCATTTCCGCTTTCAAATCATTTGTGGTTGTCATGGTTTGGCTAAGTAAACATGGATTGGATGACATCACCGTGAATTGAGAGAAAAGAAATTATTGATTTTGGAACCAACCCAACTTGGTTAAAGTAAGTGGCAGCCATGAGCACGCTACTCTGTTTTACAAAAATTTGAACGTAGCCCATTGGACCACTCTTAGCCAAATGATCAGGTCAAACAATTGATACCTGTCTCCCTGTCTTCCTGCCGGTGTCTGGAGCCCTAGGAGCTTTGGAACCAAAGGCGATTTTTCCATCTGATGTTTGAACTTTCCTCCCGCTGGCATTGAGGTCAAGGTCAAGCATAGAACCAGGTCTGAACTGATCAGCAAGCCCTAGCCCCTTGCCTGACCTTATCCTATCTGCAGCTTTGATCTTGCTAAGTGTAAGAACCTAAATAAATAGTTGCAAGAAATTATTTTGTTCAGGACTTGAATATGAAATCATCTCAAAGCTAGTTACTTAACAAAGTAAATTGTATGAAAAGCAAAATTTTGTAAAGTGTGTATTTTTTACCATGTAATAAAAGGAAACATTTTTTTTTACTAATTAACAAAAATAATTTTTACAATGGTGAAGATTTGTATATTTGTAGATAAATATTTGAGTATTTAAACAATAATGAGTATGCTGGATACCTGAGTTATCTGAATGACATCACTTGCCATCTGACACTGTTTAGGTATGTTATCAATCTCTCCAGAAGTGACTGTTAAAAAACCCTCCAGCTCTGAAATTACACAAGGGTATCCCCCACGGTTAATTCTTGTTAACAGTTGCAATGGTCATATTCTTTTATTTCATTTAACACACAAAATTACAAGCTTTTCTAAATTTATTATTATGTCACTTATTTATTATTACTTCAAGTTTCTTATAATATTCTTCAAGGCCTCAGCCACAAAGCTATGAGTGAATCCTTGTAATTTCTTCTTAAAAATTCTGATCCACCGATAATGCTTTTTTTTTATGTAATTTTTTTTTACACAAGTGATGGGTAACAAGTTTTATTAGCATATTCTTGAACAACAATACATTTTAATGGTAAAATATTGAGTTTCTGAAGAGGTTTTCAATATTTCACATTCTTGAACAACAATACATTTTAATGGTAAAATATTGAGTTTCTGAAGAGGTTTTCAATATTTCACATTCTTGAACAACAATACATTTTAATGGTAAAATATTGAGTTTCTGAAGAGGTTTTCAATATTTCACATTCTTGAACAACAATACATTTTAATGGTAAAATATTGAGTTTCTGAAGAGGTTTTCAATATTTCACATTCTTGAACAACAATTACATTTTAATGGTAAAATATTGAGTTTCTGAAGAGGTTTTCAATATTTCACATTCTTGAACAACAATTACATTTTAATGGTAAAATATTGAGTTTCTGAAGAGGTTTTCAATATTTCACATTCTTTTTGAGTGATTCAAGTCATTATGGAGTCAAATATATTTGAGTGAAATTACCTTCATCTTCAGTGGTATCAGGTGGCTGGGATTTCATGGTGAACACTCGTTTTAGCTTACAGTTGGCTGATATTGAGATCTGATCCACTGATCGAAAAGTCTGGCCGACCCACATCTCACCCACAAGAGACACCATATCAATGGCCAGGTTGAGCCACTGAGTTAAAAAGAAAATAAAGGCATTTGAGTTATGCTTGATGAGGACTTTGAGTTATGCTTGATGAGGACTTTGAGTTGAATTAAGAGCTTTAAATGAGCTTTAAAACATCTCAATGTATAGAATGATATAATTTAGCACCTTTAAATGTTTGACTATGGTGCTCACTCTCACATTTACAATAGTATTTTCAATTAATGTGCAAAGTAGATAAAATAATAATATTTTGTGGCTACATTCTAAAATCTATTTGCATCCAGAAAACAACTTTTGCCTTGAAGCCAGAGTCTTGGGTCTAGATTTTGTGAACAGCCATACTCAGAGATACTTTGGCTTCAAACTCTATAGCCCTGGTATTCATTGCAATAGTGTACATGGGATTAGCCTAAGTTAGTTTGATGCACAGTGCAAAGCCTAAGGCATTAAATGGTAAAAATATTTTTTTTCAACTGCTGGACCTTTGCAGGTAAATGAAACTAGAAATCAAAATGAAGTGACATTTTCTTGTGTCAATTGTTTAATATTTATTTGTCGTTTTTTCAAATATGGAGATTTCTCCATTACCAATGCATGCTAAATAAAGAAAATAGAAGAAAAGGTTATGCTAAACTTGAATTCATAGACAAAAGATTTTGATGTTTCGGCTAAGAGCCTTCATCAGAAAACAAGACAAGAAGAAGTATAACAAGTATCAGCTCACAGTAAAAAAAACTTTAGAGATTCCCTTTTTGTTACCGGAAGCAGAGACAAAATAAAAATAAGTCAAACAATGTGGAAAAAGATTATGTTAGTTCTACATTACAGATGGTTGGACAAGGATTTATTTTGTTGATTCTAAATTAGAGAGACTATTATTTTTCAAAAGTAGAACAGACTTACCACAGCTCTCTTGACAATAGTCATTGGTACTTTGGCATGAAGTGGGGTTACTTGTATCTCTTTCTGTGATGTGGATAAAAGTATTCTCCTCTTGTTGTTCCCAAGGTCAGTGACTCTGAAGTAATAATTTACTTTGGTGAAGTTCACTTCATAAAATGACCATACCACCAGTTCTCAAATTATTTATTTAGTGCACAATATCAATGGATCATCTAAACCCCGGCTTGCTTAGTTCTTTATTTTATTTGTTAAATCTTAACAAGAATCAAAACTGTTTCCTTTCCTCTTGCAACCAATGACACAGGAAATAGTATTGTCCTCACAAACTGGAGTGATCATTTAAACAGTAACTGTGTTAAGTACATGGCTTGTTGGCAAAGAAATTTAACAAAATAGATCTCCTCTACTAATTGAAAAATAGCAAAAAGTTATCAATCTAGAACTAAAATTTAAAAGTAAAATAACCCTCATGCATAAAAAAAATAATGACTTTAATCAGTACTATGTCTGGTCTTTTTACGGTGTTCTAAATGAATTTTATTTTTTAAGCAAAACTGAAAAGAGGTGATGAGTTAAAAGAATGGCCCATTTCTGTGCATATACTCACCCTAATTCCATGGAGAAGTCTGCGCCTTTCAAAAGATAAATCTGTAACACCAGGTAGCGTTGTATGAGGGTCACTGCAGAAAGTTTAGAAACAAAATGTAATTTTATTTTTTTCCACAAGAAACGAATTTGGCTGTTGGGTGTGAAAGTTTTGCTCATAATTATAGTTAGCTTTAAATTACTTGAATACGGACATTCTAATTAATGGACAAGGTTATATATTATACGTCAAACCAACTAAACATGCATTTTTTTTTTTTTAAATATTGGTAAAATACTTACAACTTTGTTTCTGATCTTTTGGTGACTGCACTTTAGTAGTAGCTGACGCGCCCTCTAAGGTCAGAATATAACCTTTCACTTCTTTCTCGTAAATCTGTTGAGGTATTAAAACTTATATGAGGGCAAGATCGGGCGATGACTGGCTGATAGGTTCAGTAAACACTAACTTTGAATTTCTCAAAACAAGCAAGATGTCCTGTCTCTTCTTACTTAGAAACACGGAGACAAACACTCTTAGCTTGCTGTGTTTGTTTCTGTGTTTCTTAGCTGATGTAGGTTTTTTGGCCCGAACTTCCTCTTTTTTTTGTGTTGTCCCTTTTCAGGTATTCCTATAACACTGCATATTTCTTATTGCTTCAATCTTAAAGCTGTCCTTCCCACATTTATCATATAAGGAAGGTTCTCCTCAAGTATCTAATTTCACCCATGGAATTTTGGGAAGACCTGGAGGTGCTTGAGGAGAAGTGGGAAGGAATGGGATGGCCAGACTGCCTTGGAGATGAGTGAGAAAACACTTAAATCTTTAAACATGCTATTTTAGCAGTATGCATCAGCTCAAATGACTAAAATCTTGAACATTTACAGAGAGCAGAAGACACTTTAGACCAGCATGGTCATGTAATAATATTCAACTTATTTACTTGTTTTGAGGTAATGTTTCTGTCCCCTGAGATGAGGGTTCATCTCTGTACCCCATTGGAGAGGTAAGCCAATATTACATTCTAGAAACAACTATACCAGTACAGAGTTTTAAAAATTCAATTGAAAATTTTACTAAAACTAAGATAAATGACCAGGGAAATTTTGGCATTTTAACAAGATGGGGACCCACCACTACCCCCTCTACCACCACTACAACTCTTACCACCACTACTACCCTTAACACCACTACCACCTCTACCACCACTACCACCCTTAACACCACTACCACTACTACCTACACTCTGAAAATTGCACCCAGGGTTTAACCTCAGCTACGAAACTGCTATCACAATTTCTCCTCTAAACTGGCTGCCTTCGATAATGAATTATTGAGTTAAACATAAAGCCCATAATAAAACCATTAAAGGGGCCTAGTTAAATGATTTAGTTTTAGTTCTTAAATGGACTGCACAGCTGCTGGTTAAAAAAAATTACTTTTGTAAGTAAAAAGGAAAGTTTTATTTCCCTCACCTTTTTAACACCAGAGCTTGATATTTTCCAGTTGCTCATAGAGTCCCTGCCCTGTGTACTGAGCAGTTCAAAGAAGGGGCCACCCTTTTCAGAAAGACAATACAAAAATCCATGGTTAGTCTCTAAATATCCTCGTCATTATTTTTTTTTTTTTTTTTTAAATAAATTATTGATATTTTTTTTTTCTTTTTAATTTAACCAAAAATAATACCCAAAAAAATACTAAAGTATTGTTAATAAATTTTTGAAAGAAAAACTGAGCAGTTCAAAGAAGGGGCCACCCTTTTCAGAAAGACAATACAAAAATCCATGGTTAGTCTCTAAATATCCTCGTCATTATTTTTTTTTTTTTTTTTAAATAAATTATTGATATTTCTTGTTTCATTTTAATTTAACCAAAAATAATACCCAAACAAATACTAGAGTACTGTTAATAAATTTTTGAAAGAAAGTAACAACTAACTTCTCCGCATTACACATGAGCTTTTATTTTAAAGAGCCACAGGTATTCTAAATAATAATAAATTATTTCATTTATCCATTTTCTAAGCTTTGTTGATAATATTATGACCAGACACTCTTTAACAAGAAACTGAAAATCTTTTTTAACAAAATAGAGTTTGAAGTTAAAAATTAAAGGAAAATGTGATTTTGATAAATGTGAGGACAAATATAAACTTTAAACAGTTTACAACACTCTCAGGGTGGCTGTGACTATGTTCATGATTATGTACCTGATAGCCTGTCTTGAAAGACATATTTGTACACCTTGAGTTTGTTAAAGGTCTATTTTAGCTGATCAACTCTTGAATGGACAAACTGAAACAGATCCTAATGAGTCACAAGGTTGCAGGTTGAATTCAGAGAATAATAAGTAAATAATAAAACATTCAATTTAAAAATTGTGTGAAACCCTAACAATTTTCTGTAGTGTTGTTTCAAGCAAAAACAAAATTACATTTTTCATTACCCAATGACTTGATTACTTTCAGCCCTTTCATTTTTCTTTTATTTCCTTTATACCATATGTTGTTTATTTTATTTAGTTTCATTTCTACTCTAGTCTTGTCTAGCGCCTTGTTGCCGCTCATGAACCCTTTTAGCTGCAAATTGTAAGTTAATTGTTTTGTTTTTTAATTCAAGCCACAACACCATCTTGTCCCTTTCACTGAAATCATTTAGAAATGTGATAGTGTGGTTAAATGTTTATTTTATTGTCAATAAAAATAAATTAGCATTTATTAAAATGTTATTTCTTTTTGTTTTCTTTGATGATCAGCTTATTTCATGCTTTATAGGGCTTTTAGCATTCAACTACATTATTTTTTTAAAATAAGCAACAACCATTTAATAGGAAAACTAGTAGAAACAAAATTTAAGCTCCAGCTATCTTTAGTAATTTACAGGAACATTTGCAGTCTTTAAGTAGACCTCTCCGTCATTGAGGTGCTCTTGTAAAGGAAAACATCAAGTTGACAGACAGTAATCAATAAACCATTTATTTATTTCCAATGCTTTATTACAACTTAATTTCAAAATCAAATATTATAAAATAATTATTAGAATATGCTTGGATGTTCATTTTGTAAATCCTACCAACAATGTAATTTTAGTCATACGTGACACTAAAATACGAGATTACAAGTACCAATTGTGACTAGCCCACAGTAGAACTTTACTTATGCCTATAGATATACAACTATTATTTTATTATATCCTATAGGGCCTAGGCGAACTAAATCCTTTCTCATCTCTTATATATATTACACTTCTGGTATGACTGGTGGACTGCTTCCGAATGGGCTGCTTCCTAATTAACTGCTTCCTAATCAGCAAATTCAGTCTGGAGAGTATACTACAAATAATTGTAAGTGTTTGAAAGGAAATATGGTTCAATAATGAGTTTATTAGCGCGCAAAACATAATTTCCGATAACTACGCTAAATGTTTGAAAGAAAGTATGGTTCAATAATGAGTTCCGGATAAATGCGCTAAATGATTTTTAAAAATAAAATGCTACTGCGTTTGGCGCGTAATATTTTCTTTCAGAAAATGAAATCGTCTGAATATAATTATGGTGTAATAAATATTCGGTTTTAAAGTGGTTGGGACATCAGAATATTAATATTATACATTGGCGTGAAATAAAAAGTGTGCAGTGACGTATCATGGGGGGGAAGGTGTGTAGCGAAAATTAGGATTCTTAAATGTTTGTTACATGAGTTCATGTTTTGTCAAGTAACTTTAGTATATGGTTTAGTTAATGAATTGGTACTTTTGCAATATCTAGTAAATATGAATAAGCTACATACTACATCTTTTTTTTTTATTTGCCCCTAATATAGACTACATGCCAACCTACATAATCAAGAAGATTTAGCACCTGCTTTAGATTAAGAATGTGAAAACACTTTAAATTTAGTCTTAACGTGGCCTAATACTAGTTATTGACATAATGACTAAATGTATTCATTGTTGGGGATAATAAATAATTTTATTATTTAAAATAAATTAAATCAATACTTGCTGAAGTTGCAATTTTAGCTAAGATTATTATTATACAAATGGATTTGTAATTATGGTTTACAACTCAAAGTAGCTACTATTGTAAAGGTTTCCCATAACAGCTACCAGTATATAAGGTAGATACTGGTTGAACTTTGCTCAAATTCTATGTTTATTTGGCCTACTGATCCAAACTTTAGGCTAAGGGTTATTTTGAGCAATAGGATTTCAGGTTCCTTTTTGCCTAAAATGAATTAATTTTGCCCTGATCAAACAAAAAAATGCATAATTTCCTTTTTTTTTTTTAATGACTTGAAAAACTGTAAAATATCCTGTACAGCTGGCCATACAACAACTAAAAAGTTTTAAAAACATAAAAAGTATGGGTAAACCATACAGGTTTATACATGGCCCTTTCTTACATGACACATGTTAAAGATTCATACTGCCAGAATAAGACCTGCAGAGGCCTCTCAGCATTCAAACTTTTGGAGATGGGAGTGACTGTCACAGGCAACACTTTAGCAATTCTATATATACCTAACATACAATTATTTGTGTGTTGGAGGAGCTGCCATTTGGGAGTTATGTTGCCTGCCCTTGCTCCCCCTCCCCTTCACATAATATTCCATATTCAATATCCTTCACTTGAGGTTGAGTCAACCTTATCTCACTATTAAGAAAAGTCTATTTGAGTCTCATTTTTGTTTTCTTATGCACTGATCCAATTAGCTGACATTTTAATTTCTATTGTATTTATACCTGCTGGGATCAAAATAAGAGAGTCTCTCAAAATCCTCTTAAATTACTAAGTAATTTACTGTCTTAGACTTAGGAATAGTTTACAACTTGTTTTGTTTTCCTTCTTCTATTCTTCCCTTAATTCTATAACTTTTTATGGATGAAGATGACCACCTTATCTACCTTATAATCATCCAGTTAAAGTTCAAAAATGAGTCTCACAATCCCCCACTCCCTGTCTCAAAAAAATACTTTGACTTGGACTCCTTGCTGCAGAACCCCTAACCTAACTTAGGTCCTATGGCAAGAAGCACAAAACCTTTAAAACTTAAGAGGTAAATAGCCCATAAAAGGTGCAGGGCTCCTGCTCCTAGGAACATCCTTATTTGCCTTTAAGAATTTATGGTAATCTGGCACTAAGTATTGAGTGAAAGTACTGGATAGTGCCAGCAGTAGACAGTTCTGATAGACTTTTCGGGACACCAGGTACGATCGAGAAAAAAACGGGACATTCCCGTTTTTACGGGACTTTTGGTCACCCTACGCCTACGTCTACGACGACCCTACCCGTAGCCCATTCAGTTCCCCAAAATTAAAAATTATTGATAATCTAACAAAATAATAATAAAGTAATATATTTAAATGACACTAAATGCAATTAAATACATATTTTGCTTGTTT